AGTACTGGACTATAAGTGCCTGAGAATCACAGCTAGAGGTTGGAAAGTCCTTGTTATGCCTAAACTTCCTGGCTTAGTGGATTATTCCATGAAAATTGGAAAAGGGAGTACTGAGGAAAATCTATCCACTAGCAGAGCATTTGGGACAAATGCTAGGGATGTGAGATTCAATAATTTTAAACTTTACTCCTGTAGATATTTATATAAGCAAAATAGAATAGCATCAACAGGAGTAGCTGGGAATATCCTGATCATGTATCTGATAGCATTGTGATTGTGTACCTCTTACGGGAGGTGGAGGTTTAAATTCCTTTTGCCAAGATGTGAGTGAAATTTGCTTTTCGTAAGACTGTATACAAGCCTGCACTTTTGAACTTTCAAATAAGAAGTGATACTGATACCTTTTAGGCTCCCCAAACACAGATACCTCATTCCGTGTTTTTTTCTGGACAAAAGTATTAGAGAATTCATGTTTAATATATGTAACAGCACCTAGACCGCATTTTGGGACAAAAATATGCTCACTGAAAAATATGAATCCAGTGCTGTGTATCAGCTGAACCAAACTGTAAGGGTAACTGTTTAGTTATTAGCACTTTTTGCTACACTGGAACATAGTTGCAAGTGATCAACATTTATTAAAGTTCTTTCTTTTATCATATATGAAGAAATCATGATTATTCTGTCTTTTCTGTCTCACTAAGAGACAAATGTCCTGCCATAGATGGCCAGAACCAATGGAGCTCTGGTAAGTATTCCTCAAAGAAAAGACAGAGCGTAAACAGAGAATCTGAAAAACAAGTTTGCTGTTACAAACAACACAACTTCATGATTATTGAGCTAAAGTAATAGGTTAGAGGAATGCAGACATTCTTAAAGATTTCTATAATGATTAATGAAATATATGATCAAAGAAGTGTTTATTCATCTCAGCTTTAAAGGTTTTTCCTGTAAAAAAAAAAAAAAAAAAAAAAAAATTGTCAGCATCTTATACTTTGATAGTAAAGCTGTTGCCACTATTTGTGTTCAAAGCAACTAATTTTTAATTTACAAATGTGATCATGAAATCCTCTTGCAAACAGAAGCCTGGAATCTGGTATATTAACTCATTTTCTGAAAGATAGGCTTTAAAGAATTACAATGGACTGGATGGGGTGCCTCTTTTAAGGTAAGCATATCCTTAAATGCATGTTTGAGTGTTCTGTAGAACTGATCCTACTGTATAATTCAAAAAAAAAAAAAATTAATGGTAAAGAAAGAGGAGAAAATGCAGCAACTTTGAAGCTGAATGACTGATATTGAACTCATTCTCCTGTTCTAGGATGCAGTTATTTCCAGCTTTCACAGGGCTACATTCTGTAGCCCTGGAATACACTACCAACAGGCTTCCAAGCAAGTTTTTGAGAGTAAAGGAATTTGTCTCTTCTCATTCTTTGAAATACAGAAGAAACTCTTCTGTGCTTTATAACTGTACATCTTTCTCTCTAACTTGACATATTGACATGAATTGGTCCACCTGACCAGGAGGAAGTCATCAATGAGGCCTTCTACCGACAGCTGGAAGTAGCCTTACGTTCACAGGCCCTGGTTCTCATGGGGGACTTCAACCACCCCGACATCTGTCAGCAAGACAGCACAGCTAGGCACAAACAGTCAAAGAGGTTCCTGCAGAGGATTGATGATAATTTCTTGACTCAGGTGCTGGAGACGCCAACGAGGAGAGGTGCAATGCTAGACCTTGTACTAACGAACAAAGAAGGCCTAGTTGGAGAGGTGAAGGTTGGGGGCAGCCTTGGCTGCAGTGACCATGAGATGGTGGAGTTCAGGATCCTACGAGGAGGGAGCAGGGCAATGAGTAGGATTGCAACGCTGGACTTCAGGAGAGCTGA